GCATACACAGCAAAATGACAACAACATCGATGCTATAACACCAACCATAAAATAACATCAATGATGATACCAACAATAAAAACAACAACAATAAAAATATAGACAACAACAACAACTATAATAATAACAATAATAATAACACCAACAATGATGATATTTGTAGCCATCACAAATTTTGCACTGTCTTTATTTATTCAACAGTAACAAAACGACACCATCATCATCATCACCACCATCATCATCATCACCACCATCATCATCATCATCATTATCAATGTCATCATCATCAGAATCGTTATCACTGTCAATTCTCATATTATTATCATCATTATCATTTTATAATACACCGTGCAGATATAAACTTGTTTTTATACATGCATATTAGTATAAGATTGTTGAAACTTCACAATGCCAATCATTGGATAAGTTCCTCCCACACACATAGACACACACACCCGCGCGCGCGCGCGTACACACACGCACATACACACACGCACAAATCAGTTTTCTTTTACTTATAATCTTTGTTTCGTCGTCATCATCATCGGTATGAAAAATTTTCACCTTTTACAGATTTTAACATTACCGCCTTTTCCATTTTGCTATTTCACTTCTTTGCAGAGTAAGAGTTTTGACACCATTATCATTTTAGTCATCACTTCCGGTTACGTCATCAACAACAACAACAACAACAATAATAATAATAACAATAATAACAAAATCACGTGCAACAACAAGCTGACAATCCAATTAGTATCCGAGATTGAGTTCGACCTTAACTTTGTTACCGTTAGTGCAACGACATTAACAACATCAACAACAATGACGTCGCACTAAAACAACAATAACGTCACAGCAGCAACAACAACAATAGCGTCACAATAACAATAACAACAACAACAACAACAACAACAGAATAATCATTAGCAATGAAGCACTCATCCCACTGATGAAAAACTTAAGAAAATAACATTAAAAGAACATCATTGCTAAAAAGAACAGTACAGGTGTGTGTGTGTGTTTGTGTGTGTTTGTGTGTGTATGCGTGTGTGCGTGTGTGTGCGTACGTGTTTCAATACCACCAATTCAAAATAATCAATGCCACCATAACAAAAATATCTTCATCATCACAACAACAACATCATCATCATCAAATTGATAACAACATCATCATCGTCGTCATCATCGTAACAAAATCATCACCCTCATGACGGAAATAATAATAAGAAAAACAACAACAAAAACTACAACGACGAAAGCAACAACAACAACAACAACAACAACAACATCAACAACAACAACAACATCAACTTCATTAATAAGAACAGACGCAGAACAAAAGAAATAAGACTGGCCCGTATGGACAAATAACGCCGTGATCAAGAAAATCCCAAGACACTGCTGGTGATGATGATGATGAGGACGATGATGATGACGACGACAATGATGATAATGATGATGATGACGATATGAAGATGACGATGATGATGCGATTGTTTTGTCGATGTTTTGTTGTATTTGCCTATGATAATATTGGTATAGAGTAATATGATGACGGTGACGACGATGATAATGATGATGCAATTCTGCTGATGATGATAATGATACAATGTTGATGATGACGGTGATGATGACGTTGACAACATTGGCTATGTTGATAAAACTCAAAGTTTATCTCCTTTTTATTGTTACATTTATAGCTATCCATGATTGCATTAATGACAAGAACCGGCCCAGTGACATCAACAACAAACAACAACATAAACAGCAACAACAATATCAACAACAGCAACAACAACAACTCAACACTAACGTAAAAAAACAGCAATGTCAACAGCAACATCAACAACAACAACATCTGCAACAATTCTAGCAAAAACGTCTACATTATCAGCAACATAAGCAACAACAACATCAACAAAAACAACAACAACATCAACAAACATGCCAGTATAAGCATGGGCAGATGTTTCAGTTCCAGGAGCTTTGGAAAAAAATTTCACACAATCATCTTAATTAATCACCACATCTCTCTAGCAATATTGTTCTCTCATTTTGTGTACAGACAACTACTCCTAAATTTAAGACAACAACTACTACTACTGCAGCTACAACAACAACAACTACTACTACTACTACTACTACTGACGCTACAACAACAATAGCAGCAACAACTACTACAGCAGCGGCAAAAACAACAACAACAACAGCAACAGCAACAACAACAACAATACTTAAAGTAACAATAACAAGGATATGACGACGAATTTTAAAAAAATAACCTACAATTCTCAAATTTTTCAACAACCACTACATCCGCCACAACAACAACCACAACAACTACATTACTGTCAAGAAAATTAGCTACAGAAGCTACTGAAGCAGCAGCAGCATCAGTAGTAGCCAATGAACGACAGAACGTCAACATCTCATGTGTACTTGAAGTTATTTTAGTGGTATTTTAATTGCCACCTTCTTGTACATTTTGAAGTTGTGGTTGTTGTAGTTGCGGTTGTTTTAGTTGCGGTTGTTGTAGTTATTGTTGTTGTAGTTGTGGTTGTTGTAGTTGTTGTTACTGTTGTTGCTCCATTTTTTGAAATCCCTTGTTGTGTTCGTTGTTGATTTGATAGATAGTAATTAGTTGCAAGTCGCAATAACCATAACGAAAATATACTTGTACTGATATTACAACTAATATTAACAGCAGCAGTATTTGAACAGCTGCTACTACATTAGCCACTACTTAGTACTACACTGCTGCTACTACACTAGCTACTAGCTATTAGCTATTACACTGCTACTACCACAACTACTACTTAGTAGTTGTGGTAGTAGTAAACATAGCAGTGGAAGTACTAACAGTTTTAATTGAAGTACTAGCAACAACTCCAACAGAAGAAGTATCAGTAGTATAATATATGCAGTAGCAGTACAATGATCAAAAGTTTTAGTAGTACTAAAAGTAGTTGTATTAACAATACTGGTAGTAGTAGAAGAAGCTGCAGTAGTAGAAGTAGCTGCAATACTAAAAGTAGCTGTAGTAGTAGAAGTAGCTGTGGTAGTAGTAAAAGTAGCTGCAGTAGTAGAAGTAGCTACAGTGACCGCAGTATGATACAGATTCACAGAGATAATGAAGTAATTAATATTAGCAATGAACAATAGGCCTTAGGAAATTTCGTGCGTATTGAAGACCCATAAATATTTAAAAGAATTTTTGTATGTTGATATCAATAAACGTGCATATACGCTGTATATAAACGGCGAGCGATGCTAAAACATACAGGCATACTGATACAAACATACAAAATTTGATACAATCATACGAAAAACATTCAAAAATTGGTACAAGCGAACATTACCACATACAAACATTGATACACCCAAACTCACACACACATAAATACAAACATACAAATCGGTACAAAAACATACAAACGATCACACAAACAAACAAACATACAAAAATACATACAAACGAAAATAATACAATTAAACATACAAACGGTTGTGAATTTTTTCCCATTCCTGCATGCATGAATATTTCATCAAACATATTCTTCAACAGTAGGTGTCCCAAGTTTTCGTCATTTCTCCATAAGAAGTTTCTTTATTTTTTTGTTTTCTCCCTTCCCTCTCTCTCTCTCTCTTTCTCTCTCTCTCTCTCTATCTATCTATTTATCTTTTATTCATTTATTCGTTTGTTTGTTTGTTTATTGTTTGTCTATTTTTTAATTCATTCATATTTTTGTTGACGCATTCCTTCCATCCATTTGTTCTTTCCACTCCAATGAGTTATCCGTTTGCTCATTCGTTTGTTCATTCATTCGTTCATTAATTCATTCATTCGGTCATTCGTTCGTTTTTTCTTTCGTTCATTCATTCGTTCGTTCGTTCGTTTGTTTGTCCGTTCGTTCATTCATTCATACATCTATACCTCCATCATCCTTTTTTCCGTTTTTTTATCTATTTAATTATTTATTCCTTTATTCCTTCATTCATTCATTCCTTCATTCATTCGTTCGTTCGTTCGTTCACTCACTCACTCACTCACTCACTCACTCACTCACTCACTCACTCACTCACTCACTCACTCACTCACTCATTCACTCACTCACTCACTCACTCACTCACTCACTCACTCATTCACTATTCATTCATTTATTCATTCATTCATTCTTCCACCCGTCTATCAGTCCAACTTTAATTTATCTAATTTAATTTTTTCACACCAAAAATTCGTCCCACTCACTTAACCCTTATCCTACCTCCTTTATTTTTTCATTCCACCCATCTCTTACTATATTTCATTCTTTTTTCTTATTCGTCTCTCATTCGCAGATCAATTTTAACTTTTTTTAAATATATCTTACTAATTTCATTTATTCAAATTTAATGGAATAAAATTTATGATAATAATTTTTCGGATGATAATTTTCTCAATTAGTCCTACAGAAATTCATTTATCGGTTCGTTCATTTATTCATTAATTTGCGCGCACACACACACGCACACACACTCACACACATAGTCAGAAAAAAATAAAACAGAGAAAAAGAGAGAGAGAGAGAGGGAGAAAGAAAGAAAAAAAGAGAGAAAGAGAGAGAGAGAGAGAGATAGAGCCAATCACGTCAAAGTAGGATAGATTGAAGAAAATTTCGAGAATAAATAAAAGATTCAGCGACGTGTAAATAAATAAATGAAAGAATGAAAGAATGTACAAATGAATGAATGAATGAATGAATGAATGAATGAATGAATGAATGAATGAATGAATGAATGAATGAATGAATGAATGAATGAATGAATGAATGAATGAATGAATGAATGAATGAATGAATGAATGAATGAATGAATGAATGAATGAATGAATGAATGAATGAATGAATGAATGAATGAATGAATGAATGAATGAATGAATGAATGAATGAATGAATGAATGAATGAATGAATGAATGAATGAATGAATGAATGAATGAATGAATGAATGAATGAATGAATGAATGAATGAATGAATGAATGAAAAAAGAATGAAACAACGTAATCGAATAAAGGAATAAA